ACAAGCGTTCTATTGTTATCAACAAGCCCTAGCAAAAATTGAATTAGCACCGAATGATTAAGATGAACTTTATCAACTTCAATTGAATATTCATGCAGACATGGAAGACAGTAATACAGAACCGGGTGAATGGACAAATGTCGATATTACAATTCAAGAAGCAGAAAAATTGGCCAAAAAACTACCAAGCGAATTAAACATGGCTGAATGTTTAGATAGGAGGGGCAATATTAATGTGCGATCGCTCGTATAGCTTGCATATGGAGCAAATTCCACTAAATCAGAATTTCTAAATTTAAGGATAATGAATAGTAAGGATTGAACTATTACTAAGATGACACAGGTTGAACGATAAGTTTCAAAGTTGGATCTGGTCTCATTGATATCCGTAACTTTCTTTTAACGGGCAAGTTTGGAACAGCACGGAAAGAGAAATGACTTAATAGTAAAGATAGAACGCATTTAAGTTCAGTTTCTGCAAACTTCGAGCCAATACAAGTTCGAGGACCTCTAAGGAATGATAAATTAATATATGGACTGATATTCTTAGCTGAGTTGTCCCATCTATCCGGATCAAATTTTAAAGGATCTTGTAAGTACCTTGAATTCCTACAAAATTTTAAGAATGTAAAATATTTATACATGCAACGTACAAAAGCTAACGAATTAACTATAAGTAGTAACTAAAAATCAAAACTTTGCATACTTAAAGTTAGCGACATACTATAGATATATACTGTGGTAAGGTGTAAATTCTAATAATGATAATAAATGAAATGCTACAGTACATGATATTTTCCATCTATATAAAACGTATTTTATTGCTGACAAGTGCATCAGTACTCATAGTACCTATAGGGTGGTATAATCGTAATAACGGTTCCTTTGGGAACAAAATATCCCCCTATCTCAACGTCATGTATTGTCTATCGTAGAGTAAATGGAACTGGTGGATAAAGTCTGTAGGTTGAAAAAAGATAAAATACAGAGATTATGTAAGTCTGCCGATGAATTACAATAAACTCAAAATGCTTTCTTGTCAAACATGCAACTCTTGCAAGCCGCATAATAATCACTTTAATATTTTTATAGATTATTACATATCTAAGCGACTCTTTAATAACGTTATCAAGGTATGGCAATTCATCAAAAGTGTTCCATGTTTGTTATCATTTGGCCGTACAATCTTACCAATTTTTTGACGCAGCCTTTCTTGGACGTCAAGGTTATTAGCCAGTGCATGTAATGTCCAAGCCATAGCTGAACTTGCAGTCTTAACACCAGGATGCAATTATCGTATTTAAATTGCTAAGAAATTAATGTTACTAAATGGCTCGTATACTCATTTACTATTATTGCTATTATTATGTAGGTCAGTTATCTAATTATACATTTGTCCTAACCTCATGGCCTGCGATCAGAAAGGTCATAACATGATATTGTAGCTCTTTAGGCGTGAAACTATCGTTGCCTTCTTCGTCTTTTATAGATAATAGAATATCTAATAAGCATTTTCCTTCTCCTATAGAAAATTTCGATGCGAGTTTATAGATATAAGCCTTCACGTTACAAGCATTCAGTAGATCTATTTAATGCAGTGTACGTTAATATGTACATTTAAGGTAAGAATTTGTATTTTAGTATCTATAACAGTCTTCTCTAATTTTTCGTCTATTACTTTTTTGACAGCAGTATGGCAAATAAACAAGAATGCGATTTGCCTCCATTTTATTTGGGGCAGATATTTTGAACCCGCATAAAACTTATTAAGCTATAAGTTGCCAAATAAGTTAATNTAGTACATACTATAATAAGCTATTAGGAACTTTATTATGCATACATGCATCAGTGTTGGGAAGATATGAGCGGTAACTCAAATATCATTGCAAAAACTTTATGAATATGTAAAATCGTATCATATCATATTTTAAAAGATTAGAATCACGATAAGACCTTGATGCGATCTAAATTTCTAGAAGATACGTATCCTAAACTTACCCCACAGTTAAACCACCTGAAACCTTCACAAATGCAACTGCAACCTCATTGGTCTCATCTGTTAATGAATTACAGGGATTATCAAACGCACATTTTGCATATAATATCTAGCGTCGTTCGCGGTAGATCGTTATGAACATCCAATGTAGCTCTCTGACCGCCATGTTCGTTAATTATATTTTGCCAGTAATTTATCAAATCTTGAGCAATATTTTGAAAAATGGGTACCAACTCTAGCATCGAACAGAAAGAATATAGTTCAAGATCTTTTCCCGGTCACGAAACCGAAATTATGTTATTGTATGACATATTTATTTGCAAGATGTTCAAGTCTAATGTTTACATATTTTATTTAGTGATACTACAGCTTTGAAATTATATGAGAACTTTAAAGGTATAAGATCTTAGATAACTACTGAGAAAGTATCAAAGCAATATTTATTAGTAAATTTTTTACCATTAACTAGATAGCTTTAAGACAACCTCTTTTACTTTTAATTTTGTTATATTTAAATGCTGGATTTATAACTTTACGAGCAGAAGTATGCTTTTCACCGTCTAATAAGATAAGTCCTTCGCCAAGAATATTTACTACGAAGCTAGTATGAAAGCAAATTCAGTGTTAAATCCCAGCATCAAAAATTTGCCAATTTTTTATCTTGAAAATAACACGAAATTTTATCAGTATCCATACTTTTTAATTACCTTTTCATCAGTGTAGGCTTACGGTAATTATCAATACGTGTAAATAAGACATGCTTAATATATTCTGGATCAGTTACAGCAATTCGTTGGCTATAGAAAGGGAAACATAAATGGATGATTCCTCCGTATTGTTGACTCCATCTGAAATTAGAAAATCTGGACTTAGGCAAGAGGATTTTGTTCAATACTTTGAGAAAATAAAAATCGGCTAATACAATGTTCCCATGATAGAATTCATCCATCAACTAAATTTTGATTTTAATAACAGCTATAACATGTTAAAATGATCAATAAAGACTATCATTTTATGAACTTTGACGAATTGTTATTATGCTTCGATATAGCTCCAGTGTATTGCATAGTCTAAAGTAGGTAATATATGATATCACAGAAATATAACATGTTTGACGTTGATGTACATATACAAATACGTACAGTAAATACGAACACGATGAAGGGATCGCCTGGTAGTTCTCTGAAAAGAATAGGTAAATGCCCCAAAGGCCACTATGTTGAAGGACTAGGTACCTAATGGGATAATAATAATAACACAATCATGTTAACCAAAAGTGCATTAATAAAGGGAAAACATTAACAATACCATCATTTACGAGAGTTTGTAATGCTACGATTTAGCCTCTGTTAATACAAGAAGTTGTAAGCTACAACCTTTAATTAAGGACATTCGTAATCTATCATACAAGTTTACAGTTCGTTAAAGCAATGTATTGCAGTCCTTGAAATACCTTGACAGATTATATGAAATTGCTAGGTGATATGTAAATACGTAAGATTGATACATATCCGTGCTAAATAGTTATAGTAAATATTGTACCTTGGATAGGAATGTCCTATTTACAGTAGGTAGTTGGACATCAGAGACTATGAGAATAACTTGATAAAGATAAATTAGAGATTACCGATCTAGATGTAGTTGAATCATTATAGTGTATAGAAGCACGAGATCTCTTCTCCAAGAGTTATTTAGTCTTGTTCTTAGTTGAAGAAGTAATTTATGTGATAAGCAAAACATTTTAAGCTATCAAATTTGATTATTTCTGATTTAAGATACATTACCACAAGCAGCGATAAATTGCAATTGTTGTATAACAATGTTTGATACCTTGATATTATGTCTTAATTCACATAGATTGTAGAGACAGATTGAGGATGAAGCAAGGACTTTTATTAGCAGGGTAGTTACTGATAATTACTCAGGCTGTCAGCGGATAAGATAGTTATAGTACGCATTGTTACAGATACAAGTCTTTGACGATAATGATGAGATCAGGGTGTGTAAAGTCCGATTACAACTTAACGATAAATTGCTTGCATTATAAAAAGATATAAAGTAATCATGTAGGTACTAGAGTTTCCTAACGCGACAACCAATAGCAAGGATAGTATAAGTTTGTGACACGCTCAAGCTGTATTCCATTGAGATGATAGTAAACAATTTTACGGAATATGAGTCGAGATGCTCCTAGGGTACAAAGTTAGCTTATATTGCAACGGTAGATCCTGGATTATGCTACAGCCTTCCAAGCACATTTCTATTCTATCAAGAATGCTTACAGCTGGCTGAAGTAGCATCTCATTTTAATATGAAATGTTATTTATCCTGTTACGAGCATAGATTAGAAT